TTTAAAGCTATACATTAAGGAAATGATCATTAGTGTTTCTAAAGATAGTTTTCTATTTTGTTCAACTACAAGCTTTTAAAGATAAGTTCATAGCAGTTATTTTTAGTTTGGAGAAATTGTTATCAGAAATTTAATTTATTTAGTTTGATTTTATGAGATGTGATCAGAAAATACGGTGGATGTTTAAATTAAAAATCAGGTCTGTGGAAAATAGGTTTGACTTTAAAATGTCCTTCTGGATAACATTTCTTTAAACCCACAGGGACTTTCTTATTTACACTGTAATTAAAATACAGTAAGATTATGCCATTCAGTTATGACCCAAATTACTTGAATGTCTACTTTCCTGTGACTTTGTAGGTTTTAGTTATCCCTTACTTTAGATTTCTTCCAGTTGTAATTATTTCCTGCCCTTGGGGGTCTAGGGACAGCAGGTTAAGATGGGTGGAGACATCTTAATGAATGTTTCATGTTGTCAGTTTACATGGAGTCTGTACTGTATGTAATGCTTTTGCTAAGAAGAGACACATAACAAAAGCAAATGCACTGGAGGTGACAGCACTCTTCCATAGAAATTGGTGGAAGGAGTGATGGCGGTGTGACTAAAACAAACCTTGCTAAAATGCCTGGGAGGAGGAGTCCCCGGGAGTGATTTTAGAGTGTTTTTTTTTTTTCTTGAAGAACATTTGACTTATTTTTCTTAAGGTGTTTTATACTTCTTGTCTCCGTATGTAGAGAATTCTATGCATGACTGTTATGGCCTACTTTTAAAATCTCTTGGCTTTTAGCTTTGGGGCAGGATCTAGTTATAGCCAATTAAACAACCCGAGCCCATTATAGATTCTCAAGTCTTGGTGCTTTAATGAGGGCCTTTATACCATCAGGAGAAGTAGGATCTGGAGGCATTTACTGGAAAGACAAGATAATTTAGAGCTCTGTGAAATTGCTGTGTTTCCTCACTGCCTTTTTTTTTTTACTTGTGTTCATTGTGCCTTTCACTGCTTTGAGATGAACTGGGTTCACATCCCTTTGTTATAGGTATAGAAAATGTAGATATGCTGTCTTCCCTTTGATAGGATTTTCATGTTATAAATCGAGGGGCTAAAACAGAAAAGAGGGGAATAGATAGAGGGTGCAGACAAGGGAGAAGGCACTGATTCTAATTGCTGTCAATGGAAAAGAACAGAGCTTTAAAAAAGACCCCAGCTTCCGCTAACACCAGATATGCTAACACCAGACGTGTATGTGAAAGAAGCGGCATGGCAGGTGGGTGGGGAAAGGATGAACTCCGCAGCCACTAACAAGTGGTGCTTGCACAGTTGGATAGCCATGTGCAAAATTTGTCATTGTACCCTGCCTCAAACCATTCATAAAATTCAGTTTCTGGTAGATTAATCTAAATTTTAAAGGCAAAGTATATACCTACTGTTATATCTTAATTTAATGATAATCCTAATACTTTGATGAAGATGATCACCACTGCTGCTAGAATAGTAAATATACTTCTTGCAAGAACACACCATATTATATGTAACTTCTCCATTTAATACCATTAACAAAGTGGTGTAATAACATTTAACTTTATGAATTATCCGATGGAGGTTGTTTTTTTCCTTAAAAAATACATATATTTTTAAAGAATCTCATTTATAGAATAATTGGCCCATTAGCCTGAACAGAGGGTGAGTTATCAAGTTTCAGCCTCCAGGTAGCCGGATCAGGGAAGGAAATGACTCCTATGTTTTCTAGGAGATAAGTAATTTGGCGGAAGAGTTTTTCTGCTCCTCTGCTGAAGGCTGACAGTTACCAGTAATTGTGTATGTGAAAGATGCCCAAATGTGAGATACCCATTTTCAGGCCTAAGATACCCAGTCAGACCAAAAAAAGCATCAATTTCAACTGCTGTGTTACATATCCTTTAGCAAAACAAGCTTGTTAGTTGGAAGGAATAGATCCACAATAAAAGCAGAATTCAGACTTAATTGTCTCGTCTATTAATATGAAATATTCCAAATTTTTAATGTTAAAACATTAAGATGTATGAATTTGCTATTCAAGCATGTTTTGTATAATCAGTTGTTTGTGTTTAATGTTATTTAGTATGATTTTTCTCCTTTCTGGTGTCCTGGTTGAGGGACAACCCATGAGCAAGATCAAGCTTTTCCTCGGAAAACATTTCTAGGACCTCTGGAACACATATGAATACCAAAGATTCCAAAGTCCTATGCTAAGGAACATAGCTACAGTAATTTTAAGCTTGTAAATTTAAGAGACATGATTAATCACTCATCCCTGCTACTGCAAATCTCAGTAATGTATACATAAAACAATGTTAAATAATATAGTTTCTAATCCTTATACATTTTACAGAAAGGATCTCTGTAAGCAAAAATTGAGTTAAAGTGAAATTTGTATGTTTTTAGTTTGGAAATTTTGTATTTTATAATACTTTAATACGTTATTAGTTTGTTTGATATTTTCCATCCTTACATTCCTTTAGCTGTCAGTTCCAAAAAGGTTATTTTATGCCATAATTACAGATAAGATCTTTATATTATAAATATGTTATATAGCCTAGGCCAATAACTTGAATTTAGAGAATCTTTCTGTCCAAAATGACATACCAGTGTTTGACTAGTATGTTTTAGACTACCTCAGAAATTTTATGTTTCTCTCATTACTTAGTAAATGAATGTAGTCATTGAGAAAAATTATGTGAAGGAAACTTTTTTTTGTAATCAGCATCGTTGAAAATTGGCTATATCTTCATGAAATATTTATGGATGAATTTATGTCTGTGTTTGCTTCAAAATGATCCATTGTTTAATGAAAGGGGATGTGGGCAGAGGTTTTAGATGAAATAGGAATACTTTTGAATGGATAATTGTTAAAGCAGGGACATGGGTACATGGGGATCTTTTGTTGTATTCTCTCTACTTGTATTTTTTTGAGATTTTTTTTAAATAAAAAAAATTTTAAAACTTGAATGGAAGATCTTCAAGTCAGTAATGTTCCTTTTCTCAGTTGGGGGGTGGGGGGCGTTACTTGAGAGAATAAAGCCCTAATGCCCTAACACATCTAGTGTGAGTAATGAATTAACGTCTCTCCTGTGCATCTAGAATGGTGCTAGTTATGTATCATTCTTGGGAAAATTGAGAAAATAAGCCTTTTTTTGTGTTTTGTAGTGGAACATTGGCTAAGAAAGGCTGGTTGAGGGTATAGAAATAGATGATCGATTCAACATTGTACTGTTTTGCAATTTAATGTTTCTTTGCTTTTTAAATAGAAGTTTCGAACTTTGGTTTTTGAACATGGTCAAAATATCATGTTATTAACATGTTATCCTATACTAAAATTGTTGAAAAATGTGGTCTTCTTTTCTGTTAGGTATAGTCTGAAAATACAGCCTGTTGAGAGAATGCACCTAGCTGTAGTTGCCTGTGGTGAAAGACTGGAAGAAACTATCACCATGTTGAAGTCAGCTATCATTTTCAGCCTCAAACCTCTTCAGTTCCATATTTTTGCTGAAGATCAACTGCATGATAGTTTTAAAGGCATAGTAAGTATTTGAGACTAAAGTCTGAGAGTTGAATATTTAATGGTGTACTATAATAGAATGTTGTTTTATTCCTTCATTGAACAAAAATACTTGTTCTATAATTCTGCCCTCCTAGCGTGGGGAGTTTTTCCTGCTNTCCCTGGCTCTGAGACAGCGTCTCAGCTCTGATCTCCCTGCCCCTGGACCCCCTTCACTCTCCCCGACTTCTAAACATTGAAGCTCCTTAGGCCTCCGCTCAGTTCCTCTCTCCTTTGGGGATAACTGTCTCCAATCCAGTGCTCTTTTCTTTGCTCCAGAGCTGTATTTCCAGCTGCTCGTTGGCCATTTTAACCTTTCTGATTCCGATGCCTCAGACACTCTCGTTCAAACCTCAGTTCATGACCTAGCTCCTCACACTTTCCCTCGTTTGTATTTTGTATCTTGGGTTATGACTGACTTTCCACGCGTCGGTCCACAGTGACTCCTCTGACCCATTTCCTTCCCCTGTTGCTCCTGACCGCCTCTTCCTTCCTGCTTCCTTAACCACCATGCCCACCACTTCTTCTCCAGCATGTGTGACCTCCCTTTCCTGCCCGCTGCCCCTCCCTTCTCTGTGTCCTCTGAGTCATTGTACCTACCTGATCTGCTGTGGTTTTGAAGCTTTATCTACTGCTACACTGTTGACTTTGTAGATAGATACCCCATGATGTTCATCGTAGAAGCCCTATAGGCCTGGCGAGGTGCTTTGGCAACCAGCAAGTAACTAATGATTTCCCCCAGCACTTTCAGACTCAGTTACATGTTTGTGTAGTAAGCTTCCTTAGCAATCTCGATTTTTTTCCTATTTAAGCAATTACCATGATTTCTGGTTAAATCTTTTAAAATTGTGTCTTTTCACAATAAGCTGTAAATTGTGTGAGGTCAGGATTGTGGCTTTCTTGCTTATCCCTAGCGTCTAGCATATGAAAGGTCCAGTCAGTATTCATTAAAAAGAATTAATTATATCAAAAATTATATTCTAAATATTATACAGATTTAAGCCTGCACCACCATTGTGTGAATGTAGTGGTGTCACCGTAACCTTAGTATTATTTTGGGTTATAGTTTTGCCACTTATTAGGGCCAAATGATGGTTTATTACTGATTTATATTTTGTTGATTATTTGTTGGACATATTTTCATATTTGTTTAGCTTTTAAATCTTTTCTATGTTGATATTTTACCTATTTTTTAGTGCTTATTTTATGAACTCTTAGAAATATATGTTCTGGTTTTGCCATTGATTACAAACATTTTCCTAATTTGTTTCACTTTTAATTTGTTATCTTTTCATTATGCAATCTGTTAATGTTAGTATTATTATAAATATTCTGTTTTTATATAGTAATTTTTCTATGACTTGAGCTTTTAAAATATTTAATCTTTCTCTTCTTGGTAGGCATTGATTTTCAGTTCTTGGAGTTTATGGTTATAGGTAAATTTTATGTTACCTGTCGTCTATTGGATGGTCACATGCTAGTTTCAGAGATCTATTTTTACAGTTTATTTTAAATTATATTTTAATAATACTTATTTAATATAGAATTTTTATATTTTCTTTTTTATGCTTTGCATAACATCCTAAAGTTTTTAAAATATTGTATTTTGTTTCAAAAGTGATTTAAATACAACTCTTTAAAGTAGTTTTGTCTAGTATAATTCAGCACAATTCTTTTTTTACTAGTACCCTGTTTCCCTAAAAATAAGACCTAGCCAGAAAATAAGCCCTCGCATGATTTTAGGTGCCAAAATATGGCACCTTGGCATACTGAATATTTTAAGCTAAAGGAGTTTGTGGAAAAGACACCCTTTTCCCTGAAACAGGTCATAAAACCCTCATGTGAGGGGTGCGTGCCCTCCATATCCTGGAGGAATCATGCTGTGGCTTCTCTGGCTAGGTCTTATTTTTGGGGAAACACGGTAAGAGGAAAAACATTTTTTAAAGCTATACATTAAGGAAATGATCATTAGTGTTTCTAAAGATAGTTTTCTATTTTGTTCAACTACAAGCTTTTAAAGATAAGTTCATAGCAGTTATTTTTAGTTT